GTTTTTGAACTTTTTAGACCCGAGGAATCGTCCACGTAGAGATTCATAAAGGTGATGTGTTCCACAAAAGGTGCATGGTTTACAAAGCAAATATTTTCAGATTAAAATACACAGTCTCAGTCTCCTGCTGAGCTTCTTACCATGCAAACTGCTCTCATCTTCTAAGGTATCTGTCCCTTTGTGTGCTGATTTTTAAATAGGATAGAGTTTCATCTTTTTAACTATAATGGCTGGTGGGATCTGGAGGATTCTGTGATGCATCATTGCTATTAGAGCAAACTCAATAGGAGAATAAAAGTATTAGACATATTCCCTGTCTGCCCTAACACCCGTCAGTTTTCTGCAACTTTCTACTTAAGCAATGTCGTAAGTTGACCAGCTTTTGGAAATGTCTCTGGCCTTCCTTATTCAGAACAGACACATCAGAGGATTCATTAGCCTTTTGGTGATATCTGTGAGGCCATTTTATATAAGCTGTCCATTACATCTGGTTTGTTATTTTAAAGCTTCACTCCATTCCTATGTGCATGCTTTACACTTGTGGAACATGTTTTTAGTCAGCTTTTCTGTTAGGTCAAAGTAGAGCCCTTCTCTGAGCACAACTTGACTCATGTTCTTGAACTAGTTTCAACATGCAGGGCTAAGCAACGTATGGCCTATGAGTACTCCCATTTTTTGTTATTATCTGGAAAATTCTGTCAGATCTTGAACGCCAAAGTAAAGGCAGTCTTGATTTGAAATTCTTATTGCTTTCATCAGTTGAACTTCTCTCTGTCCCCTGTTTCTGTCTTTGCTGGCCTTTTAACACAGACACGTGTGTGACACTGAAGTCCCCTTGTGTCAGGTACATGATTATCATCTCACTTGTCCTGAAAACTCTGTGTTTACCAGTATTCTGTTTGAAAAGAACACTATCAATTCCTGTTGAACATACCAAAAATAATTATGGATGAGTGCTCTGTCATGTCTGTTAATTGAATTGCATATCCTTGACTAGAGAGTTCATCTAAACTGGCCAAGACAGCTGAAGGTGGTGACTGGGGAATCTCTCTCTACTAACAATGTTTTTGAAATGTCAAACATAATCAGCTGGAGTTGGCATTATCCCTCAGACCTCTTCCTTGTGTTGATAGCATAGAGAAATGAGCTACCTTGCTTATAAATTAATTGTGAGACAGCTTTATTTTGAATTACCACATTTAATTCTGCTGCTGATATAATTTGCTATGATAAAATTAGTGCTTGTTTAGTTTTCCCTTTCCAATAAGCTGTACAATATAGCTGTCTGAAGAGGGACATTCATTTAAGAAATACTATTTTTTAAAAAAATCATTATTCTGCCTGCCAAGTGGAATTAGAGTCCTTCAGCATGAGTCTGATCCCTCTATTTACTAAATACAGTATCTTAAAATATTCAGTGTGCTGCACAGCAATATAGCAATGGGATAGCAATTATAGCAATAAGATCTGTCTACCTGAGACTGTTTCCGACATCTGTTGCATATATATTCCCGAAAGAGTTGGATTGATAAGATGAGAGCAGAATACCTTCAAACTATCTTGTTCAGGTTTGTCGAATATGCCTTGAAGATACACAATTCTCTCTTAAATACACAATCCAACTAATTGCCACGTTAGGTGTCTTCACTCTGAGACTGGAATCAAGACTATAATTTTTATTATTTTTTTTCAATTAGTTTGAGATGTATAGCTTGTAGAGGAGATGGTTAAGAGTGGATATTGCCCAAAGAATTGGGGTAAGCCTGGAGGAAGTGCTGGCAGCAGAAAGCAGATGCAATTAGTGCTATCAGAACAGGGTAGGGTGAAAAAGCAGAGGGGTTTGGGGGCAAAGTCTGGACTAGGCTTCCAGCTGAGTTGAATTTTACAGGTTTTTAAAAACAGCTGTGAATTATTATATTGATGTGGCATGTGGTAGCAGGGACAGACTTGACACTAACAGGTCACTCTACTCCTATATAATTTTCAGAGATAAGAATAGATTTATTTACAAAATAAATACCTGTGAGGAACACAACTAAGGATCAGAAAATTAATATCAGAAACACTAAGTTTCTTGATTTTGTGAATCACTGCATCAGTTAATTTTTATTTCTACAGCATCAAACACTTTTAAGATTCAGCTGGACAGGGTGCTGGGACATGTTGTCTAGACTGTGCTTTTGCCAAGAAAAGTTGGACTAGGTGATCATTGAGGTATCTTCCAACCTGGTATTCTATGATTCTGTGATTTTTACCATTAGGACCTAATTTAAAGTAGATAAAAATCAAAATTTGTATTTAAAAGTTGTAGAAGCCAATTGAATAAACTTGCTCACAGGTAAGAATCTGAATTATCTTGTGTATAACTTGGCATTTTGGAGTTTTCTTGCTTTGTTTTTGAAGACTTAAGTGGTGCATTGGCATTTTGTCTGCCCAAGTGTCATGTTTGCTCCAATAGGGATTAGACAAACAAGCTAAAAGCATTCATTATTTTAAAAGATTTTTACATAAATTATTTTTGAAGGAAATAAACTTTTCTCTGAGTTATGTGTAGCTAAACATAACATCATTATGCCAGTGCAGGGGAACTAGAAAGTAAATTTGACTGAGCAGGGCTGAAAGAGTCCAGATCTCCTTGCAGTTGAGAGTGATATATAAGATTTAGGTAATCAAACTGGTAATGTAATTTTTATTTTAAAATAATTAGATTTCCACCTGTCTGCAGTCCCAAATAGTAAGTGTAAAAGCTTTTCAAGGAATTTGTTTTAATTTTTGGCTTGATTTCAGCCTTCTTAAGAACTGTCTAGCTGACTTCCTGCTTTAATAGCTGCTCAAACTTTCTTGAACCAGTGCAGACCTACTGTATGGTTACTGGGCCAGCTTATCCATTCTCCTTATCCCTTCAAAAGATGCTTGTGGCAAGATGATATAAAAATAGCTTTTACAGCATGGAGATGACCTGACCACCAGTTAAGATCAAGCCAAACCCCTGTAGTACAGCAATCCTGAAGGAAGCAATGCTGACAGTCCTGCAGCTGTGAGGGGAAAAAAGAAGTGGGAGCTCATGAGAGATGAATTCGGGAGTCCACACTTGACTCTGGGGCTGGATTGCTTCAGCAGTCCTTCACTGGGGGTTTAGTCTGGAGGGACATTTTTTCACATGCAGCAGCAGCAGCATATAGCCCAACAACTTGGTTCTGGTGATGATGTCTACATACTTTCTCATTAAATAGTTAAGCTATGCCTAATGACATAAAACTAATCACAGAGGCTGAGGTGGAAAAAGATTATATACCCAACCATATATATATACCATAGGTTTCTAATATGCATGTAAGAAAAATTCATACTCTGTCACAGTGCATGTGATTGAAATGTTGCTATTGTAGAAAAGGAGATGTGAAATACAGTTTCTCTCACTGATACTTGTCCTTTTTTTCCAGCATTAGACTGCATGGAGGAACATTAATGTTCCTCCTTGTTCCTCCAGACATTGCAAAAACATTGTGTCCATATGCTTTATCAATTTAATTTCTCAAGTTGGCTTTGTTTTTGTATCTCCAAGTTTCATTCATGGTAGTGAAAAATTAGTAATATTGTTAGTGGATTTTGGTGTATTTTTGTGATATTAATCAATAGGTAAAAAGAGTTACTTGAATTCCAAAAGCTAGAAGATTTTTTTAATACAAAAGCACCATTCTTAAGTCTCAACTGGTATCCAGTCAAAAGCAAAAATGCACACAGTGGTGACTGATGTTTCCAAAAGCTGTATGCATTAAATGTAATGGATATTAAGAACCCTGGATAAAAGTGAAGTGTCAGCAGGTACACTGTACAGCAGGTACAATAATGTAATTATTTTTGCTCATACTACTAATTTTCAAACACCTTTTTGACACCACAAAAATATCTGTGACAGTTGAACTAAAAGTAATTTTAATTACAGACTCTACATGTGACTGAATTTGATTTGCTAGTACAAGAGATTGCAATGACAGCCTTTACATCGTCGTATGATTTGTAATTTCTATTCTTGCTTACTAGTCATCCCTTGCATCTGGTACACAATCTTGTGGGACTCTGAGCCTTGTAGTTTTTTTGTCTGCATTTGGTAGTGATGCTTACAACAGGATAGGTTTCATACTGAAAGCTAATGCCCTTAATCAGCTAAGGGAAGGTAAGAGCTTTAACAATGATTTGTGTTGAACCCTCTTCCCACAAGACTGTGTCTCATGAGGGATCCTGAAAAAACAAAATGCCTTGGATTTACATGTCCATACAGCTCTGCTGCCAGTAGATGGTGAGGCAGATTGAAATGGTTTGCTGTTAACACCATCAAAATATGTTTTCAGTGAAAGTATTGAGTAACTGAATCTGCAAGTTGTAGCAACAACCTTATGAGCAAAATTTTTGCACACTAAATATGTTTTATATCTCCTGCTGTGATCAGTTCTGTAGAGATGCAGCCTGCACTTTGGACTTCTCAGGCTCATCAGTTTAACATTTTCAGCTCTTCTTGGAGATCTGATTGCCTTGAAAACCTTTTAAAATGCACTTTAATTTTCTCACTGTTTGGTCAGTCCAACATAGGTTAGCTTTGGGTTCTTCATCACTTAGCATAATACAAATGCACTTCATGCCATTTTGAAAGGAATCATCATGGTTGTTTGATTGCATGAAATAAAAACAATATCCTTTCCCATCAGACATTTACAGTAGATCAAAATGAAAATTCAAATGTTAAAAGCTGCTTCCTCAAACAATGACAAAAAGTAGTCATGAGCGAATGAGAGCTCAAACACTTCAGTCATTCTTAGTTCCACAAATAGGTTTCGCTTTTGTTCAAACTTCCTGTATTTCGTGAGCTTGTACATGTTCAACAGGGAGCTATGAACAGCAGAAACAGTTACTTTAATTTTTTTATCATGTGGCAAAGCAGTAAAATATCTGCAATGTATTTCATGGACAAAGATTCCAAACTGTCTAACTTATTTCAACAGGCAAGCAGTCCTACAACAGGAACAGCTCCCAGGAGTCAGTCACGGTTGTCTGTCTGCCCTTCCACTCAGGACATTTGTAGGTATGTACTGAGAAAAGTATACTCTAATATGGCTGATACTTGTTATTTGTTTTTATTAAATATTGTATAGCTCTTGCTTCTGCTTAACTTTATTCATAATTTACATAGACTTTAGTTTTCTTTTGATCTCTCTGGTTTTGTTTTTGCTTTTGTTCTCATGTTTTTCTATTAAAATTCATGTTCTCATTTTCATCCTTTTTTTTGTGATTTCTCTCTTTCCACCCACCCTTACCATTTCCATCCCTTTCCTTTGCTTACTGCTTTGTCTAGATCTACTACCTTGCATGACTTGTCAGAAGATGAGCTTGAACATGCAACCCCTGTCATGGTGCTGACCCCTTCTAATAGGGAGTCTGGTAAGAAACACGTAAAGCGAAGGTTTAGGCGGAAAAGAGAAACTGGAGACAATGGTGAGCACACAGAAAAGCAAGGAAAGGGGAAAGACTGTAAACTGCATCCTGAGCCTCCGAGATCCAGCTGGAATGCATCTGATTCATCATCATCTTCAGATGAGAGTCAGTGGGCTCAGGCTAGGAGGAGAGCAAGAGAAAAGGCCAGACTGGCCAGGAGAGGGAGAAGAAACAATAGATCATGCAGTAACCAGGATGGGTCCTCAAGCAATAATGCTGTTGAACTTGTCACCTTGGGGACAGTGGGAAAAAAGAAACAAGAGGTATCTGACCCTGAGAATCCTACTTTAAACCACCGCCGAAGGGTTCCGAGGCTTAAGGAATCACAGTCTTCAGCATCATCTCAGGAAGCAAGGATTTCCTCAAGAAAATGTGGGAAAAGCAAAGGGAAAAGCTACCACGGAGATCGTCAGCCTGCACGTTTCCTTAGACACAGTAAAGATTTGAAGGACTCCTTTGCAGAGGCAGGCTCTGGCAGTGATGCTCTGGCAGTCCCAGATAATGGAGCACCTGCTGGGGCAGGGCCCACTGTGCCTCATGCTGTTCAGAAGCCTCCAGTGTTCTATGATGACTGGTCTGATGACTTAGAAGTGTGCAGGTTAGTCTCTAATAAGAAAGATTTAACATTCTTAGGAGGAATTTCTCAATGCCATGGTCTGAGTGACCTTCTCTTGACTGCTTTCTGTCACTGCTTCTTAGTAATAAACTACTAGGCAGGCCACAGGAAATAATACAAGAACCTTTGCTACAGAAAAGTTAGCATATCTAAATCTGAAGACATACTTCTCTTACTTAAAAACAGCAGTCCTACAAGGGAAACAGATGTTTTCCTTTCCTCTTATCTATCTTCTTGAAGAGGGACCCGCTGTGTCTTCTGACTATTGCTGTGTTTTAAATCTTGAGCCAGAGGCAGAGAATGAAACAGAGTGCCAGATAGCTCAATACAATGGGATATGGAGCTTTTCCTCCTTAGATGATCAGTTCAAATCCAGCTTTGGTCCCTATCTGTCATTTTTCATTGACTTATATGAAATAAACTTATGGTCTTGATTCAGTGTCCTCTAAAGTTGCCATTACCCTCAGGAATCTGATGGATGGTGCCTTCAAAACATCCTCTCTGGTGTGACATAATTTGTATGGCACTTTGGAGTGCCAACCACCTCTACACTGTGAATGTGTAGGGGCTGTTAGGTCAGTACCCATCACAAGGGTTGGAATGATACAAAAGGATGATTGGGCAGCATAAGCATTAAAATAAGCTTTGGGAAAGGAAAAGCAACACCAAGAGTTCTCTTTAGTTCAGAAGTTCAGGCTTCTGACAGTCTGATGTCCTTGTGTGAAGCGTGCAACCAGAAGGTGAGCATTTTACTCTGGAAATGAGAGCAAGCTAGCCACTTCTGAGCTAACATCCAAATTTGGAGTACACAGCTGGGAGGTCTCGAATTACTTAATTTAGTGGTAAATGAAAATGCACCATCCCGTAAGTTTAACAGAACTGAAACGGGCATTTCTTTTTTTTCATCACAAAACCTGTGAGCCAGCATTGACTCTCATCTACAAAATGTAAATCAGACTTAGTTTCTTCATATGTTAACCCAAAACTTCTCACTTTTCTCTTCTGGGAAGAAATTAGCGTGGAAATGTAAACACAGTCAGGATGAGGAAGTTCATGATGCCACATCATGCAGTTTCACAGTATACTTTAACCCCGTAACACGATACAAAGATCCTAGTTCTAAAAAGAAAAAAGGTAACTTGCAGGCTTTGTGTTTTTTTCATAGCAGAAGATATAAGCCATTACTAATACAGCTAGTGCTATGTGCTCCTTGTTATGCTTACCAAGAAATAAATATACATTTCCATTGTCTGACTGTTGTCTGTCATGATAATTTATGATTCTTAAGAGTAAAGACCAGCTGGTTTTGTACATGAACTTGTATATCAGGAACAGACCGCTGGATTGGGACCTCTTCACCTTATGGAAATGCAAAGAAACAGCAACAGTGGTAACCATATTACTTGAAATGTATATGCAGTGTATGAGGTGTGTAGAGGTGTGCACAGATAACTACTTCAAAAACTTCAGAGTTGTCTTAAATTTCTGAACCACCAAGCCTGCACATATTGAAGATCCAATGTAGTACACACAGGACATGTATAACAGGTCATTTAATAATTATTAAGAATCTAAGCTACCTAAACCTGAAAAAAATATTCAGCATGGGTCTTTATATGGGCTTTACTGTACAGTGTTATATATATATATATATTTAAGTCTTGTAATATCTATAAATAGATAGATATTAAAGTTTTGTCATTGTCTCATGTAGATTAATCCTAACTGTTGCCCAAGTCACCAAACTTTGACTTTGCTTTGAGATGAAAAGTGGACTTGTCTTTTATCTGTCTTCTTGACCCATTGAATTTTATTATAATTATTCAGGCACTGTTTGTCAGGCTTTTTTTTCAAGGATGAGCCTTTTGGGTGTACATGCAAACTTTTCAGGCAGACATGTTTAACTGAGGAAAGTTGAAAGCTTTTGACAAGTGTGTGCCCCCAGGCTCACTGTCAGTGGAGATGCACTTTGAACAACCAGTGTTAATATGGTCGTTTAGGCAGCATTACCACCAATTCAGTATAGGCCGTAGTTTCTGGTTTTCAGAACAGGTCATTGCACCTAATTGATTCATGAAACTGTGGTGAGTTTTTCTTCAAATTCATGATCTCGCATCTGAAACAAACAAACAAAAAAGAATAATTACATGTCAATGTAGTTGAGCATAGAGACACCATTTTTCTGCATGAAAAACAGAAAAAGGTCAGAGGACTTGTGGTGTTTATTCTAAGGCTGGATTAGCATAGCTGGTTGTGATGTGGAAAATTTGTTTTCATCCTAGCTGTTCATATCTTCTGGAGGTATGACAACACTGGGTGAGAGGAATGGCCCTCACCTAAGTGGGATTGTGTGGAAATAGCAGAGAAACAGGGATCTTAAACATATCTTGGTGCCAGTTATTTTGTCTTTAAGTTTTTGGAGAGACTTTTTTTTCCCTTTATTTCCTCAGTGTCAATTGTTGACAGTGGAACACTACTGTAAGCAGTTTCTTCAATCTGCATTTAGCAACATGAGCAGGAATGTGGTAGGACACACCCAATTCCAGCTTAAGCACATTAGTCAGATATAGTACCATGGCACAATATATTCTTCAGCTAGTCTAAAGTAAGCCTCTTAGTCACTTCATGTGAAATATTTGCCCTTCTACTGTCACTGTTTCTTTGTTTTCAAAGTGATGAAACAGTGTCATGGCATCAATAATGGTCTTTACAATCTCTTCCCTGAACTACTGATTTCTTCTGGAATCCATTAGAAGGCAAGGTTTCTGCTTCTGAGATTAGGGACAACATAAATTCTGCTGCTGCTGAGTTGTTTTGGCACATAATTTTTTTTTTTTTTTTTTAAGATTCACAGGATAGGCTTTCTAAATCATACAGTTGGATACCCCTTTTCCTAAATTGCCCTGTGTCTGAGATTTTCTTCATATATACTTTATGCTGGAATTTGCGATGTGGCTTGAGGCACAGCCTCAGAAATAGCTTTCTTTCATCTGCATGTGGATAATCTCCCTGAAGGGAACAGCTATGTGTGAGACATGATAAAGTGAATGGATTGTGAGGATTTAGTCCCATGGATTTTCACATGGGGATTACTAAGGAAAGAAAATTGGTTAGTTGCTATTACCACTAGTGCATCATAAGTGCTTTGTGTTTTGACTCTGAATTAATCTTAATGGTGATCTTATGGGAGAGTTGAAAGATATTTTCTGTTTGACTAGTTGGGCTTCTGGTGTAAAATAATTTTGTAGTACTGATTCAGTCATTTCAGCAAAACCACATGCACTTAAATAAGGCAGAGTTTCTCACTTTGAAAAAAATGCTTATTGGAAGTCGATTTTTGATTTTGTTGAACTCTCTGAATCACTGTTTATGCAGTCAGGTAATAGCAGGCCCTCATTTGAGAAGTAACTAGAAGAGTACACCATGCCAGAAGACAGGTAGAGATGGGGAGAAGAAATAAAGAAGATGATATTGATTTATGAGATCTGCAGAATCTATTTCAAGTATAATTTTCAAAACTTAGTTTTTAAAAGCTAGTGTGCAAATTTAAAGGCCATTAAAAACTTTGGAAAAGAGTAAAATGGGCATTTCTATATGCTAACACAATCACAGATAGGAAGAAATAGTGTATATTGCACATGACAAGAAGCAATATGATTATGTAGTTTCTCTCTGGGAAATCAAGTGTTGTAACAGGTTGTGTTTTTTTCATAATGTTAATTAGTAGAACCTGCAAAAAGATAGTATCTTACATGAAAATACTTACATTCTGAAATATTCAGGTAGAGGAGTGCTCACACAATCAACAGACAGAAAGCTGCTTGGAAGGAAACAAGTCCTTGAGTTAAAAAAGAGAAAGTTGAACAGTTGATAGATATATTTATAGGTTTAAATTCTACCACTGATATTTAACACTCATTTAAACTACTTATACTGAAACCATGATGTTGGATCCTGTGAATAAACAGTAGTGCAGAATATGTAGACTTGAAATACCAACCAGAGCCCTCTAAAATCCCTGTAAACTGGAAAATGCTCTACTTCCAGCTTTTAGTGTTTGGCTGAAGAGGGTTTCTGACCTGGGATGTTAGTGCATACCTTCTGGTCTCAGGATGACAGGTTCATTAGGAGCTAAGTCTCTGAATCTTGTCCTGTGTGTTCTCCTCACCCCTTCCTTCAAAAGAACTGGGGCTGCTACTTACTTTCCCATTTTTGCAAGGTGACTTTTTGATAGGAATCTCCTGCTTCTTGAGGAATATCCTCCTCTGTATGATGGTCTGGCGGTTTATTAGTCTTTGAAGCAATATGAAATTCTGGTTATACAGTCTCTTTTGGAAGCTCTCCATGATTCACAAGGATGCAAGGAGAGCCAAAGCAAGGCAGGCATGTCTTTGTTGTGGTTAGACTCATTTATCTGGGGGACAACTGAGTCCTAGCTTCTGCTTCTTTCTCTCAAAACCTATTATTATTTTTAATGCAAACAGGTGAAATGGCACCACTTCTCACTAGAAAGCAAGGGTGAGAGGATACCCTTGGTTCTAAGGGTCCCATCACTAAATACTTAAAACTTGCATATTTTCTATATGGAGTTTAGTTCCTTAAAGCTTTGACTTTTTCATCAGTTGGGTGGGAGGAAATCTATATCTTAAGATGCAGTTTCTAGTTCTTTGAACTTTTTCAGTGCAGTTAATGTTGTCAGACACATATCTTGAGTGGCACTGACAGGCCATCTGAGGAGCACTTACTTGTAACTCTTCAGACAGTTAGATATCCTATTTATCACATATAATGGGAGATTAATAGAAGGACAAGAAATGTTGACAAAATAAAATATTTAGTGTGCTTTTGCTAATGTTGTTTGCTTTTGGGTCTCATACAAATTCATAGCACTTTTGCAGAAATGAAGAGAAAGCTTTCCCTGGGCCATTATGAAATTCCACTAGTGTGGTGCAACATTTCGAAAATGTGTTTTCCTCTAGTCAGGTAAAGACAGCTGACTGTATGGCATAATAGAAGGGCAGGAGTGACAGGGAAGATCTATACAAATTGATTACATTTGGTATGGAGAATTAATGTGCTTCATTTACACTGTGTTTAAATGGAGAGTAAGACCAATTTGTCATTTAGATTACTTTGTGATTTAAAAGTGCAAAGAATGGAAATGAGATTTGAAAAAAAAAAAAGCCAGTAAAATGAAAGCAAGAGAAACATGGCACACTGTAACCTATTGCAGGCTGAACATATTCAGTGAATTTAACTTTTTTTTTCCAAGTGATAAATTATGCATGAGCAGAGTTTGATGTTTTTGTGGATTCTGTTTATGAATGACAATTACTTGCTGGGAGTTTTTAATAAAGATGTTTGCTTTCATTTTAGGTTCTAACTATTTAAGAGCACTGTAAGCAGTTTATAAATTGGCAAAAGAGAAAATGACCTTTTTTGGACAGGAGAATCGTTTTCCTAAGAAAAAATCAGACAGTAGTGACAGCAATTTTGTGCATCCTTTTGCAATCCTGTGGAATTGGTTCCTTTTGGTCCAATTAAGATAACCTAGAAGCTCATGGTATTTCATGCTTGAAGCTAATAATCCTCACAGCCAAAAAATCAAATCCAGGGATTCACTTGCTCCAACATTTTCCAACTCTGCTGTTTCTTTCTGACTCAGCTCCCTTTAGCAATAGTGAGATATAGTAATGAGATGTACCCGCTGAACAGGGTAAGAATTTTTCTCTGCATAATCATTATGAGTCCATGTGTGCTTTCCAGTGAAGAGCAAGATTTAAGTGACTTTTCAATAATTTCTCACTAAAAGTATTTCTGGAATAGGCATTATCTTCCTTGAGCATATTTATATGGAGAAAATATTTCCCTCTTTTATTAGGGAGATCTGTTAAAAGTTCAAAAGCATTTCTCTTCTACTGGTGTACTTCTGTCCTCAGGAAGATGACTATGGGTATTGGGCATCTGCATTAATTTAGTGCCTAGAAGTTGCATCACGATTGCTGTAAACATGCTGCAGTCACAAGGCTGTAGCTCTTCCTAATTTTGAGAAAGGGGGCCTCCATTAGTGCTTTAGTTCAGATAAAAAGCCTGCTTTTGAAGCACATCTGATCATCATTACTTTTACCATAGTGTAGACCATGCTGAGGATTGGTCTCAGGGTTCGCCAACTGTGTTCCCTTTGAGTGAAAGTAAACTGCAAGGTGTATTCCTAGTCCAACCTAAAATCAGTATCAAATCAAAGCAATGTACACCAAGATGTGTCTGGGGTAGTTACCACAGGTTTTAGCCCTAGCTGTTTTTTTTTTTAACAGATTTCCTAGATTTGCTACATTTTCACTGCAATGCTTGTTAGCATGGACGTAGCTGTTCACTACCCAGGAATGTTAAAGAACAATACAGTTTTTACATCATTACATCATTTATAGCCCTTAAGCATTATTGTACATCATTATGCCTGGGCCCCCATCTGCACTTCTATTTTTTAAAGTCACAGAGGCATTCCCCTAGGTTGTACATTTGCTTATGAGGGTGAAATTTGACTTCGTGTATTTTTAGGGAAGTCTGTAAAAGCTATCTGTGCTACACTACCATAGTTAAACCCCTTGTCTATGTGTAATGGCCAAAAATCCTTGAAAATTTTATCAGGTATTCAAATGCAGTGCCAGTTGAAAATATAGAATCCACAGAAAGAGTTCTGGTGATGCAGAATTCCTGCAAACACTTTTCTACCAGCGCTGCTCCTAGTGAAAAGGTTACTAATGTGGCTTGAAGTGGAAACGGGGCATGCTGATTGATTCTTATCTTTAATCACTTTCCTTTGATAGTAGTCATCTATGGAGTGATACAGATACTGTCATAGAAGAGCATTTGCCAGCTAGGTCAGAGTAGAGCACTAAGTCTCACAGTGCACACAGGACTCCTGCAGAATAAGTGTGTTTTCTACTTCACTACAGAGGCAGCGAGATCATTCTGTTTTCGTAGTTACTGAAGAGTCAGGTGGACTAGTGAAAGACAAGTCAGGGAAACTGCTGTTTTTCCAGTAGGGTTAGAGATTAGCAGCTATTCCCTTTAATGAGAGTAAAACTGTTAACTGCATGTGAAGAAAAACCTACAAATCTGTTCGAATCTACCTGTATCTCTTGGAATAAGCAGCTTAGATGATAATGATCTAGACTTCAATTTTGGTTGCTATGATTTTGCCAGAATAAATCACTGTTAGGAAAACCTGAAAGTTTACCATGTGAACTCCTTGTTTCATACTGATTTTATTTAAGATTTTAAACTGAGATTATGTAAGAAATGTTTATATGGAAAAAAAAAACAACTTAATTTGATGAGAAGTGAAGGACAGTCATTCAAGATAGCTCTTACTGGTTTTCTGAAAATAGGCTGAAATTCAATGAGCATATGAATGCCTACAACTTCAGACTTGTTTCATACTTACCTTTCTGCCTTCTATCTTTTACAATGAACAGGGCCATGGGAAACATGGGAAGACAGTTCATAGTCAAGGAATTAAAGACAGTATGACAGTACCACATTCTGAAGATGCCTCACTTCTGAGGGCTTTGTTTATCTGCATCTCATTGTTTTAATGAGACAAGAAATTCCTTTTGTTTATATATGTGTGGTGGCAATATGCCATTTAGTGAAAGAGATGCTATGCCTTAAACTACTGGCAACTTTACTTACTAATTTGCATGGTCATTAGGGTACAAAGTTTAATATGTCATACAGTTTCTCAATCAAACATTGCATTTACAGTAAGTTTTTCAGCATCATTTCAATGTGCTTTAAATTCAGTTATATTTTGAACAAAAATAATTACTGAAAAATTATTCTAAAATGTTCACAGTAAACTTCTTTAACTTTCTATTTTTACATACATTGTTCTCTAAAAGTTTTCTAAATTGAAGTATTTGAACTATTCTGTTTCTGTTTGAGGTGTTGTTTTGGTTGGGAGGGGTTGTTTTGTAGGGAACATACAAGAGCTCTGCAGCAGTTTTTATATGAATTATATAAATTCATAAAACACTGAAATGTATTTTCAGTTTTAGCAATTTTTATTTTTTTTCCTGAAAAATATTTTTCTTAATTTGTTGCAATGTGTGTGAACCTGCTGCTTAAGAACATCCTTTAAAGAATTTTTGTGGATTTTTTTTCGTCTGATATATGCACACTGCTGGCACTAATTTCTCTGTTTGGTACATCTGTGTGCTGAAGGTTGTAGAAACAATTCTCTGCTAGAAAAATCTGTGCTGGGTAATTAAAATACTGGCATATAAAGCAAAAACTTAAACATAAGGATGACAGCACTGTTAGAGTATTATTTCATAAAGATTCACAGTAAGCTTTATTTAAAGAAATATAGATATTCTGTGATCTCAGTGTATAGGGATATGTCTGTAGGTGTATATTATACACATACACACATAAAATTTTGTTTATCTGAGTTGGAAGATCAGCTAATGGATCATATATCCTGTGTTGTCTGGTGTACACATGAATTATAGAGGAAAAGCTTCTTTGGAGACTTGTGCTCATCTATTCCTCTGGAAAAGCAAGGATGTTCATAGAGAGGAATCTTTAAAGCATTAAGCTGTCAAACCTAAAAAAAAAATAAAAAAATTTATGCAGGCTGAGGCTCAATTTGTGAATATAAAGGTCTTTAAACTGAAAGGTCAAATAGCTGATTTCCTTCCCCTCCATTTCCAGATGGTCAAAAGTACTGGTTTATAATGAAGGCCATTTATCTACTAAAGGACTAAAAATTTGAGACAAGCTGAGTATGTACAATCTGTAGGTGTGTCTGAGCAACTGAAACTGCAGTTTAAGCATGATCAGTGCTGTACTAGAACTTGTAAATAAATCAGTATAGATTTAGCAAATTATATATTTTTTCTTTATTGTAGAGAGTGTTTTATGTTTTTTCCATTCAACTATTTTCTAAAGTATGCAAGCAAATTTTACTTGCAGAATAAGTTCAGCCCTGTAAATAGCCGATCTGATGCATGAAAGTTTCAGACAGTTATGATCATTTGACAATTGGAAACCAGAATGGAAGTTCTCTGCCTCCTACTTGGTTGAGATATTATTCAGGTAAGTCTGTGCTTTGTATCCCTACCTCCATTCTGCTTGCACAACAAATTTCTCAAAACCATTATTTACAATTTATTTTCTATAATTTGTGATATTTATGATGTATATTATAGATGAATACAGCAAAGGCCAAAGACAGAGAAAATTGTGATGTGGTACTAATGGCTGAGGCAGAAAGTGCAAGTTATCTGGTCAAAGGCTTTAGAAGATGTTTAAACATTTAGCCAAGACTGTTACCATAGCTGTCAGAAACCCATATATTTTTAGACTGTCATTCTAAGTTTAGGTAGCACAAATTTCTTTTAAGCTAATTTCTTCTGGTTAAACAAATAATAAAGAGCTAAATTGCACCAAAGAGACAAAAGAGCATTCAAGCTAATGAAAGCCATACCTTTGGTCATTTTCTCTGGACTTTAATTCCTATTGAAGTTTGTTTTAATTCCAGTTATATATTTCATAGTTAAAAAGCTAGAAGAGACCATTTGATTATTTAGTCTAAGCTTCTGTATAATGTAAGTTCTTAGTGTCACCCTGTTATTTATACATTTGGCTTTTAACTTCTGTCCAAGGAAAGCATAAATGGAACGTATAATGCATATAGTGTTTTTCTGTGGAAGTATTTGGACTAGAGATTACTTCTATTAGTTTCAAATTTGCAGTGTCACTTTATTGAAGATCCCAGTGGAGTTTTAGGCTTGTATTTTTAGCTCTGAAAATAGTTTTAAACAACCTTGGGAGTAGTAGAAATAAAGGCTTTTGGGTACATAGCTTAGTTGTCTAATTTCTAAATAGTTTAAATGCTAAGGCTGTAAAATAAATTATGTATACCTTGAATTTAAATGAACAAGGAATACTGGTTTTCCTTTGGGGAATAGCTTTAATTTAAAAAGAAAGTAATGTTTTCTGTGTAACTCTCAGCTGGGAATGCATTTGTTAGAAAAATAACTATTCGGTGTTTTGAAAATTCAGTTCTGCTTAAGCTAGAGGCTCAATAAGAAATCTCCATATAGGAGAACTAAGCTACTGATGCATGTAGCTTGGCTGGATTAGTAAAGACAAGACTGTAAATTGAGTTCTTGTAAAATTTGTCTCAAAAAATGAGTGTGTGTAAGAAGAAAATTGTGGGTATTTTTCTTCTCCCCTCCATTGCCATGGGGTATGAAATCCTCTGCAAGCACCATTGCAGACACTGAAACCTGACTTTAGTGGACCAGGTTTCCAAAGCTTCATTTATTTGTTGGATTTTTTTGTTCTCTTTATATTTCCAGCAAAGCAGCTTTGTTCTGCTTTCATGTTATCATAGATTCATTTTCTCATGGCTCGGAGCTACACCATGGAAGAATAGTGAAGCTCCCAGTTTTGATTCATAGATCTTTCATGTAGACACTGGAATTTCCTTCCCCCCTGCTTTCCAGGAGGTCTTTGCCAGGCTGCCTCCTGACATACACCAGGAGCTCCTGTGCTAGGAAGAAGGTCACCTGTCTTCCCTAACCTGACCAGTAGGAAGACAATCTCATTGCAGGGCTCTCCTACCCCTTTTCTTACCCTAGGAGTGGAGCAGTCGCAGTTTTCTCTGTAAAAGGGTGAGTTATTCCTCAGACATCTTCAGGTGCTTCTGCCTGTGTCTTGTCTGAGGGAACCATTCCTAAGTGTCTAAGGTCTAAGTTTCATTTGTGTGATACCAGGATCTGTGCTGTTACTGCTATTTCTCTATTTTGAAAGAACTCAGGCTTCAGTTGTTTTTTTTTTTTCTCTTGCATGCTAGTTTAACACTTCAGGCACTGATTAGGGCTTGGGTGCTTTGGTGCTTTGGTGTGTTTTTCTGGGTTGGGGATGGGAGGGAGTTACTCTTTGTTGAAGTGGACCTCCTTAATTTCAGGTGTTTGGTTAAGCCTTCTGCTCACCGTAGAGCTTTCTCTGCCTTCACAGAGATGCTTACCTGTAAAGCTCCCATTGGTTTCAATGGGTGAATATTTTCCTGATATGATCAGGAGACTGTTTGTAAAGAGAATAAGATCAGCAGGACATTTGGACAGGTGTCAGAGAAGAAAAACATCAGATTATGATGTTAGAACACTGACTACTTTATGCAACATGAAAACCACAACACGAAAAGCTCTGTATCCCATCATAAGGTAAAACTGTTCTGGGACCAACCTCTATCTTAGGGTCTGCTTACAGCTGTAGTTTTTGTTTTCCAGATAGTACAGCTGTGTGCTTCAAAGGGACAGTGAAGAATGAAAAAAACAACTGTGACTTTTTAACACCTGCCTCCTAAAAAGTGTGTGCATGTGTGTATACACTGTGTCATATGCATGACTCCAGAGTACTTAAAACTGCTCTCTGATTCTTTTAACCGTGTAACTCCAAAGAGGTCTCCTAGGAACTTCTTGTACTTATCATGCTTGATATTTTCAGCTTGGATTAGATTTGTCTGCCTTTGAGGATTTGATTGGCATTGCTTTACAGACCAAGAACTATTCTGCTCTTAGAAAGAGCTCTGGTATTTGTCTCAAAGGTTCTGCCATGTGTAAAAGGGGAAAACAGTGTTATTTCTATTGATTCACCTTCAGACCACATAGCAAATTCAAAGAGAAATAACTAAGCAAAGAGAAATTACGAAATGGCACAAAGGAACAAGGAATGTGTTCCTGGGCCTCAATCTGAAAGGTCATACACCTGGCATCTTTTGAATGTCAAGTCTGAAGATGAGAAAGCAGTGTAAATAAACCAAGGCCTTTGCATTGCTGGTTGGCGAGTTCCCTCACTCACTCTTGCTGTCCTTCCTGTCAGGATCTGTCACTGTGAGGGCGATGATGAAAGTCCCCTCATCACACCGTGTCGCTGCACAGGGACCCTGCGCTTTGTTCATCAGGCCTGCCTGCACCAGTGGATTAAGAGCTCGGACACGCGCTGTTGTGAACTCTGCAAGTATGACTTCATAATGGAGACCAAGCTCAAACCTCTCCGGAAGGTATGGTGCTTTTGAATTTAATTATTCTCAAGTGTCAGATGTCCAGAATGGCCGTGTAAAGTTACCAGCACAATTAAAGAAATATCTGCCTGTCGAAAATGGCTTTGTTTTTGCTGTTGTTAATGAGTCTCAGTGATTTTATTTTTACATTTAAGTTAGTTAATTTGCAGCAGCAGAAGATTTGACTAAAGACTCTCATCACACATACAATATAAATGCACAAATAATAGTTTTTTGTTCTAGAATTTTTTATCTTCAGCTTTTTGTTATTGGTTCATCTGCCTATTTTTAAGCCTGAAAGAAATCTTTTCACATTTTGCTCCTGGATAACAAAGTTCACCCAGTAATTTTTACACTGAGCCACTAACTCCTAGTTGAGAATGATGCTTATACCAATGTGGAGACTGCAATTATGAAGTAACACAGTCAATTCAGCTGCATCTGTTGTAACTGTTACACTCATGGGCAAATTAATCACTCATACATTAAAATTAGTTAATGGAATCTAAAATACAGGGTGACCTTGCATCCTGAATGTCAGATGTATGTTATCTGCACTCATCTCTTTTCTAGGATAAATCAACATAATGCTACACAGGCTGTCAATACAGGGAAGGTAAAGGGTTTGTTAAACATGTGGGTTCTGTTTTCTTTGGAATGGATCATTTATCTTCTAATTTTTATTTTAAAATGCTCTCATCCTGGAGTTTTGTTGCATCTTTGAAGTTTGAGTCAATCTAGAACTGGGCAAGTTTTGATTTAAAATAAATTTCAGTGTGAGAGCCCTTGAAAAACATGTAGAAACTATTACTTATGACTAGCATATGCATACACAGTAGTGTTTCTATGGCAAAAGACATCTTGGTTTCGTCAACCTTGCACGGGTAGCAGCAGTTCAGAGAAATGATAGCACATGGAATTCCTTCACATTTCCCATCCAGAAAAATTTTCTACTAAGTCCCTGATGATAAACCACTTCTGAAGAGAGAATTGAAGTTGATTTGAAAAACAAAGCTTGTGATAGGAAAGGAAACAGTTCTCAAATGCCAGGTAGATCTGACTAGGTAGGCTGGAAATCGAAACAGATATAAACAGACAAAAAGAAGGCTAAAAACTTAATTATATTCACTTGCGTTTTAGTAATTGCAGATAAATTTTAACTAATGTGACAGAAAAGAGATAATTGTTTAAAAAACCCTGCCTGTTGCATATCTTTGGGGGATTCTTTTTGTATATATGTTTCTATTTTCCACCCAAATTGCTTAAACCTTTCATCTAATAAGTACTCTCACAGCAGCTACTTTCCTTAAGAGAATACTCAGATAGCAGTGTTTTTAACAAAAGCCTTTTCCTGGTTATGTTAGATAATACAGCATCTTTTAAAAAGGTAAACAAAATTTATAGCTACCAAGGAGAAAAGGAATGGAAAATGTGCATAACTTGATATCAGAAGTAGGAATTTTTAGTTCTGTGTGTTATCATTACCACCTCTCCCTTATTTTTAAATTGAAAGAAACTAAGGGAGTACTGAGAGACTTAGTAATGTAATTCCTGCAAGTCTGTAATTTCTTAATTGAATGATTGCCACCTTATTCAGCTTATCATTGGTTCTCAGGTATGTTTTATATTTCTGACACAGGAAAGATTAGCCTCTTCTTTCAGGTAGGATATTTTTTTTTTTTTGCTCAAAGCAGTGCTCAAATGTAGTTTATCTATCTGGCAGTATATGCTGGCAACATTCCTCCCTTCAAGTGCAGTGCTAACAAATATTTGACTTGTGTAGTATGGACCCAGCATCTAATTATATATCCTTTCTTATAAGTGACACTCATTTCAGAAACCAAAAGCGAGGTTTCCAAAGTCTGTGCACTATCATCACCATCGTTCAAAGATTTGTGAAACACTAAAGAGTTTATGAGAAGCTGTTTTGCAAACCAAGCATTTTGACAGCTGTTGTAAAGACAAGGCAAGGGAGGAAAGAATGATCATGAGACCTACCATCTGAGTAGAGCTGACTGCTAACTTTTCACCCAAGCATCTTTTATAAAAATCATTGAAAGTGCTTTTTTTGGTCAAAACCTATGTATTTTGCAAAAATGGAAAGTTCCAATGAAACACTGTCAAATTTCTTGGAAGGTTTTACACAGCCCAAAACCTCAGCTGTGCAGCATTCCCTGGTAGTCTGTGTTTTCAGAAGATTGGCACAAAGAATGGTTACCAGAGACCAAAGTGCTATGGGAGAGGCAGCCCTTAATGCCAAATCTCTCCACAATCCTGTCTCCTTGATGCAGGATTTGAAAAGCACTACAGACTCTAGGATTTCCAGACCTTGAAAGCTTTGAGTTTTGCAAAGGGTTGGCTCTGTAGTAGACCTCGAGAGCCTTCAGTCTCCAGAACTAAGTCTGGCCTGGCAGCAGCAAATCAAAATTTCCAAATGCCTGGTATTCTTTGGTCATAATGGCAGGGACATTATGAGCAGTTATATCTGAAAACAATTCAATTCTTGTCAACTTTTTTGTATGCTGAGTGGAAATGGCCAAGTTGACCAAAAATTTATTAATTTTGCTAATAAGCTTTGAGGAATTCTGAAAACAGATTTCATTTCAATGCTTCCTAAACAAAGATCATAGATTTTGTTTCAAGAGAAGAGTACCTATTCAATTCCATGAGAAACTAATTTATAAAAAAAATAAAAAGGAAATTATTTCCCCTAAAGTGAAAGTTTCCAACCAGCTCCAGATGATGGCATTGCTATGGCCATTAGACCTGGATTTGAAGTGACATTCTACAAGTGGAAGGGTTGCATCTCTCAACCAGTTCTGATTATTTTATTTTTACTCTCTCATCAGTCATGATATGAGTTTCTAAAGTTTGGTTCTTGGCTGTGCATTGTTTCATTATGATGAATTTTATCATAATACCTTTCTAACATGCCTACTTCTGGTCTCCTGAGGGGAAAAAATTACAGACCACTGAACTTAATTACAGGTATCTATAATTTTGGTTTTTGCAGTATCACAAAAGCATGATTTAGATATAAAACAAACAATTTGTTTCAGTAGTGAATGACCATCTTTATTTATGCCTTAGCCTTTCATGCACCCTCAACATTTTATAACAAATTTTTTGTCAAAATCTAAGGTTTTATAGCAGAATCATGTTGGAATATCATGTCATACAACTGTTAGCATGCATAAGTGACAATGTGGAGCATACTAAGTTAACATAAATTAAGATAGTTGCTATTAAATCAGTAGGTTTGTGCCAATGTGCAACAAGTATTTAATTAGAGAATCCCAGAAAGCACCAGTCATCAAATAAAACTTAGTTTAATCATTTTAGTGAGTCTTTGCATTAAAGTAATCCTATTAAGCATTGATCAACAGGCATTGCAAGTGTTTCATATATGTGAGTAGGTCTAATGACTCGGCTCAATATAAATTTAGAGATTAAATATTAAGCATTGCTTAGTGTGTCTGGTTTATTTCTCATAGTCTCTGTTACAGCTGTCTGTGGTTATAAATAATACAGTTCCATTTGTAGCTTTACCTCAGCATTTGCAATCCATAATGCAGAATTTATAAAGTGACTTTATTGTGGAAGGAATTAGTGGGAAGAAGCTTGTGTGAGTTCCTCATTGAACTCTCTCAGGTAATAGCTTCACCTGGAGGAAACCACTTCTTTAAAAGGATGAAATCCTGGTATATTAGCACCTACATTTCATATCTCTTGAATTTGGTTTAAAGCGTAGTAGAAGCAGGAATTGAATGGAAATACTGTGAGTATGAAATGGGTTAAAAGGACCTTAAAATTCAGAAATGTCTTCAAATGGAGATTTCTCAATATTGTCTCACTATACTTCAAAATATTTTTCATATTTAAATTCTGCTATCTGTTTGAGATGTCTGGTATCTGATGAGATGTTTTGCTTCGATGCATTATCCCAACAGATTATTCTGTGGTGTTGGAGATGAGTATTTTGTCTTCCAATTTTTTTTTTTAATTATTTACAAATAATGTCTTATTTATGTGAGGCATAAACAATACTGCACATTGTTACCATGTGGTTGCTCTTGGTCATTAAGGAAGACCAAGTCAATTTTTTGTTTAGGGCATTATGTACCAGTTGAGGTTAATTTTCTTTCTGATAGAAAGGGTATCTGAATGCATTCCTTTTAAAAATAGAAAATTGGGAATTTTCTTTTAGAACAGAGTAATATGTTTCTGTTAAATTAAACAGAAGCAAACCCAAATGCTGATAATGAGAGGAACTTGATCTTATTTATTTTGAATGTGTACATATATCTTTTAAATGTTTACTCCTCTTCTATTCCATATTTGCCTATATACTGAAAATATGATACAAGGTCCCTCCCTTGAGTTTTACACCCTTGAACTCTGTGCAACTTCGTGTATATCCAGCTACTGTTATTAGAGAAGGACAGAATGCTTTCTGTCTGCTTGATATAATTTATTTTATAAATAAACAAGAGTGATAAAATATGCAGGCCAACTTTAACTGTCATGCAAAATTCAAAGTTTTATGTCCCACTTGGAGATACATGTTTCACAGCTGCCCAGAACAGGGTATTTAGGCCCTGGAGAGAAGTTAGGGAACAGGCTGGCACAAATTTCCATACAAAGTAAAAGTCAGTTCAAGCGTATCAGTGCCCCTTTGTGGTCAGACTAGTGATAAAATCTGTCTGGGAAAGATTTCAACTGTTTGATATAATGCTGATTTAACTGCTAGATCAAAAGCAAATATTTAATAGTTTAAAGATACTCTGTTTGTTACAAGATCATATTGGATCAGCAGGAGCTATGTAACTAATTCAAAGGTAGGGTTTGAGCCAACAGACAACTTATGGGTAATGCCCAGCTGTAAGGCAGAGATTCAGCAATTCTGCAGGCTCCTTAAAAAAAATGTGAATCATCTATGGAAGCAACAGAAGAAAATTAGAATGTTGCTTTGATCTATGACAGACAAAAGGAAAATCTAA